GCTCCAGACCTGCACACAATACTCCAGGTGAGGTCTCACCAGAGCAGAGTAAAGTGGCAGAATCCCCTCTCTGGACCTGCTGGCAACGCATCTCTTGATGCAGCCCAGGATGGGATTGACCTTCTGGGCTGCAAGTTCTCTGGACCTGCTCATGTCCAGCTTCTCCTCCACCAGCACCCCCAAGTCCCTTTCCTCAGGGCTGCTTTTCAATCCCTCACCCCCTAGTTTGTATTGGTGGCCAGGATTGTTCCAAGGATTGTCTCCTTCCATCATGGTGCCCACCACCAAGCCCATCACCTCAGGGGATGGATGCGTGCACACCAGTGTTCCCAGTTAGTCCCTCCTGCCTGACTGGGAACCCCTCTTGGCGTTGCAGAGCACTGCAAGCACAAATCGGCCGCGGAGAACCTGGTCTCGGCCCAGGAGCTGCTGGAGGGAGAAGAACTGGCCTTGGCCAAGGTAACTGGTGGGAAACCTTTATCTCTAGTCCATCCTGGTGGCCGTCTTGGGGTTGGTGACACTGAACCTGCCCCCATTTCAGGTGGCCGTGCTGCTCCTCTATCACACCTCCATGAGCTGCAGGAGCCCCGGGGACTGGAATGAGTTTGACTACAAGACCCAGGTAATCCCTTCTGGGTCCCACCTCGGACCAGGGGTGTGGGGAGAAGCAGAAGAGCCTTTTTGGGGGTCACCTCAAGACCTGCCCTCACGTTTGGGACCCCTCGAAGGGTGGTGCTGGGTGCTGTCACCCTTGTCCAGGGCATCAGGGCCATCAGAGGCTCGTGACTGTGAGTGTGGGCAAGTTGTGGGGTGTCAGAGCTGCTGACCCCACGGTTCCTGCCCCACAGGTGGAGCTGGCGTCCATCCTCAAGTTCGTGTTGGACAACGAGGAGAGCCTGAATGAGAACCTGGAGGTGTTTCTGCAGAGGAAGGGTGAGTGCCAGGCCCTGCTTCCCCGGAAAATAGGCTCTACATTCTGAGACAGGTTTCTTGTCCTGTCACTGGGCATCACTGAAAAAAGACTGGTCCCATCCTCCTGACACCCACTCCTTTTTTTTATAGTCATTGATCAGATCCCCCCTCAATCTTCTCTTCTGCAGACTAAAAAGACCCAAATCCCTCAGCCTTTCCTTTTGAGAGATGCTCCAGGTCCCTCATCATTTTTGTAGACCTCTGCTGTCCCCTCTCCAGCAGCCCAGGATGCCATTGGCCACAAAAGCCCATTGCTGGCTCATGGTCACCCTGTTGCCCACCAGGACTCCCAGGTCTTTTTCCTCAGGGCTGCCTACAAGCAGGTCAGCCCCCAACCTGTCCTTGTGCAGGGGGTTATTCCTCCCCAGGTGAAGCACGCTACATTTGCCCTTGTTAAATTTAATCAGGTTCCTCTCCGCCACCTCTCCAACCTGTCCAGGTCTCTGTGGATGGTGGCACAGCCTTCTGCTGTGTCAGCCACCCCTCCCAGTTTTGTGTCATCAGCAAACTTGCTGAGGGTATATTCCATCCCTTCATCCAGGTCATTGATGAATATATTGAAGAGGACTGGATTCAGTAATGATCACTGGGCAACCCCACTTATTCAAGACCTCCATCTAGATTCTGTGGATTCTGTGCCCCCAGTCACGACCCTCTGACCTCTGTCTTTTAACCAGTTTTCAATCCACCTCACTGTCCATTCATCTAATCCACACTTCCTAAACTTACCTATTAGGATGTTGTGGGAGACTGTGCCAAAAGCCTTGCTGAAGTCCTCTAGATAGAGGATACTAGAAGAGAAGTTCTGAAATGTCCATCTTTGGACAGATCTCTGAGCAATCAATCTAGTAAGAGCTTCTCTGAGTATGGGGCTGGATTAGAAGACCTCCACAGGTCCCCTCCCAGGTCTTTCTCCTCAGAGCTGCTCTCCAGCAGGTCACCCCCAGCCTCTCCTGGTCCATGGGGTTATTCCCCCCCAGGTGCAGGACCCTGCACTTGCCCTTGTTCGTGCTGCTGTGGCACAAACCAGGTCCAGATGCCTTCACCCCAGGGCTGAGGTCCCTTTAAGCTCCTCTTTAAGGGTCAGGCTGCCTTATACCTGCTGATATAAGGTGTATTTATAGACGTACCAGCAACATCTCAAGCTGAAATGAGGTTTCCTCAGAGGACAGGGGGCGGGTGGAATGTCCACAGCTCCATGGTGGGACCAGGGTGGTGGGACAGATCCCTGGAGTTGCCAAGGACACGGGTTTATGGCTTTCTCAGCTGGTTTGATCCATCCCTGTTGGAATTTGCCATCCTTCCCTTCTGGAATGAAGGTGAAGATCACAACCCAACCCAACCCTTCCTTCTCGTTTTTGATTTCCAGCTCCACCACCTTCATCCAGCACCTCCAGCAGCAGCTCTGAGGAGCACTCCCCGCTCCTCTCCTTCCCCCACAAGCGCGAGGTGCGTTTCCTGGAGCTCCAGAGAATCGCCTCCTCCTCCGGCACCAACAAGTACGTCCTCTTGGCTGCTGGTGGGAGGGAAGGGAGGTGGTGGGGATGGACAGGATGGCTTCAGGCACCTGGAGATGTCACCACCAAAGACCTGTCCTGTTGCCATCTCCTCGGGATGTGTGGAGGTGGGATGGGATTGGGCTGAAATTACCTCTTTTTAGCCCACTTCTGTGCCCTAATGAGGAGAGGAACCTCCCAGAGAAGCTTGTGGGTCATCTCCTGCCCTGGGGTGGGTTTGGGAGGACCAGGCTCATGTTGCTGCTGGATCATAGAAACATAGAATGGTTTGGGTTGGAAGGGACCTCAAAGATCATTGAGTTGCCTCAAAGATCATTGAGTTGGAAGGGACCTCAAAGATCATTGCCCCCCTGCCCTGGGCAGGGACACCTCCCACCAGAGCAGGTTGCTCAAGGCCACATCCAGCCTGGTCTTGAACACTTCCAGGGATGGGGCAGCCACAGCTTCTCTGGGCAACCTGTTCCAAAGATGGACATGTCCTAAAAGAGCGCTCTGTGGTGGGGCTCTGGCTGTGGTGGGGCTGGAGATGGATGGTTTTCCTTGAAACTGGTTTGGAAGGTTCATCCAGCCACGTAGAAGCTCCTGAAGATGAAGAGAGTGACCCTTCTGCATGATGAGGTGTCAAAGGGGTTGCTCTGAACCTCCTGCCTCTGAGATGGGGGGAAGCAGAGTGGATCACAGAATCACATGGGGTTGGCAGGGACCTCTGGAGATCATCCAGTCCCACCCCCTGCCACAGCAGGGCCACCCAGAGCAGGTCCCACAGGAACGTGTCCAGGTGGGTTTGAATGTCTCCAGAGAAGGAGACTCCACCACCTCCCTGGGCAGCCTCTGCCAGGGCTCTGCCACCCTCAAAGTAAACAAGTTCCTCCTCATGTTGAGGTGGAACTTCTTATGGTCAAGTTGGTGCCCATTCCCTCTTGTCCTGTCCCTGGGCACCACTGAAAAAAGACCATCCCCATCCTCCTGACACCCACCCTTGAAGGATTTAGAGGTGTTGATCAGATCCCCCCTCAGCCTTCTCTTCTCCAGACTAAAAAGCCCTAAGTCCCTCAGCCTCTCCTCATGAGAGAGATGCTCCAGCCCCTCATCATCCTCGCAGCCTCTGCTGTCCCCTCTCCAGCAGTTCCCTGTCCTTCTGGAACTGGAGAGCCCAGAACTGGTCCCAGTGCTCCAGCTGGGGCCTCCCCAGGGCAGAGCAGAGCAGAGGGGCAGGATGACCTCCCTCGAGGTTCTCCATGTTCTTCCTGATGCCCCCCATGACACCATTGACCTTCTTGGCCACCAGGGCCCATTGCTGGTTCATGGACCTCCTGTTCCCCACCAGGACTCCTAGATCTTTCTCCTCAGAGCTGCTCTCCAGCAGGTCCCCCCCAACCTCTCCTGGTCCATGGGGTTATTCCTCCCCAGGTGGAGCACCCTACGCTTGCCCTGGTTGAAGTACACTCCAGGAGGGATGGTGCCCTGCCCTTGGCTCGGGATAACTGGTCTTGGTGGTGCTTCTCCCCACAGCATGTTTTCAGGCCCCCCGTCCTCGCCCATGGGGGACGTCATGCAGACCCCCCAGTTCCAGCTGCGACGCCTCAAGAAGCAGTTGGCCGTTGAGAGGGAGAACCGGGACGAGCTGGAGGTGGAGCTGGCAGAGAATCGCAAGCTCCTCACGGAGAAGGGTGAGTTGGGAGCAGGATGTCCCTGTGGGGAGGGCTCTGTGGGGCTGAGACCTCATCTGGTGACTTCGTTATGGTTTGACCCTACCGCGATGGACATGGACATCCATGATGCCCATGGCTTTGGAGCTCTTTGGCTTTTTGGGGTTTGCTGGGCCTCGCTCCGTGGTGGGCCAGGGGGATCCTTGCCCTTCATCTGGACCAAAGTGTGGAGTAGAATCATAGAACCATGGAATGATGGAGGTTGGAAGGGACCTTCCAGATGGTGGAGTCCAACCATCAACCCAACGATGACCAACCCACTGGGACCTTCCAGATGGTGGAATCCAACCATCAACCCAACGATGACCAACCCACCACTGACCCATGTCCCTCAGCACCACCTCTGCCCGGCTTAGAAGTCCCTCTAGGGATGGCGACTCCACCACTGCCCTGGGCAGCCTCTGCCAAGGCTTCACAACCCTTTCCAGGAAGAAGTTGTTCCCAAGCTCCATCCTCAACCTCCCCTGGGACAACTTGAGGCCGTTTCCTCTTAATCCTTGGGAGAAGAGACCGACCCCCCCTGGCTACACCCTCCTGTCAGGGAGTTGGAGAGAGCCAGAAGGTCTCCCCTCAGCCTCCTTTTCTCCAGGCTCAACACCCCCAATTCCCTCAGAAGTTCTCCAGACCCTTCTCCTTGTGCCTGTTCCTTGGGAGAAGACACCAACCCTCCCCAGCTACACCCTCTTGTCAGGGAGTGAGAAGGTCTCCCCTCAGAAAACCTCACTGATGGAGCCAGGCTGGCTCCGATGCTGTTGGAACATCTCCAGGAGATGCTTGGAGATGGCTCTTGGTTCTTCTGCCAAAGGGTTTGGAGCCGCTGGCTCTAAAGGAGCCTCACCATCCACATCTCAAAAAAACTCCCTCCACACCAGGGATTTCACAGAATCACAGAATCTTAGTGGTTGGAAGGGACCTCTGAGATCATCGAGTCCAACCACAAAAAATAACCCAAAAAAAAACCCCCAAAAAAACCACCAAAAAAACCCCAAAACAAACGAACAAAAAAACCCACCACAAAACAAAACACACCACACCACCCCAAACGCCCACCAAAAACACCGCACCCACCAACTAAACCCCACACTCAACACCTCACCATAAACCAATAACCTTGGGCACTAGAGCAGGCCCTGAAGAGCCATGTCTACACGTTTCTTAAACACCTCCAGGGATGGTGACTCCACCACCTCCCTGGGCAGGCTGGTCCAGGGCCTGACCACTCTCTCAGGAAAGTCATTCTTTCTAATATCTAATCTAAATCTCCCCTGCCCCAACTTCAGACCATTTCCTCTGGTCTTGTCGTTCGTCCTTTGGGAGAAGAGGCCAACACCT